CTGAGAGATGGAAGAGGATTGAGAAGGGAATCTTTTGATTTTGAGAATATATTTACAAGCTTTTTGAACATCTGTGTTTTCTTTATCGTCGAAATTTGTGTTCATATTCTTCTCTCTTATTCTCTGCGGGAGATATTTTCTTTTTTTCTCTTGTCAGAGAGCAATGCAAAGAAATTCGTGATCCAAAGATATCCAAATGCAATCCAAAGATGCGCGAAGGAATCCCAAAGATTGCACGTAGAAAAAAGATTGAATCGAATATCTGTCTTTGAAAATTTCTTCTACAAACTTTTCATCAACTGGAAGAAATTTTAGTCCAACCGTAGCGACTACACTGAGGCATCTTGGTGCTTTATATCGGCGTCAAGGTAAATACGAGGCTGCAGAAACGCTAGAAGATGCAGCGCTTCGTGCTAAGAAACAGGTATGTTGATTGATGATGATGATGCGGGATGTCGTCGCGATTCCTCTGTTTGTCAATCGGTTTTCAGCAAAAATGTTTGNAAATTGAACTGTCATTCCATTGGTTCAACTGAAGATTATCAACTATGAATTTAATTGCTGAGTGGAATTGAATTTCTGTATGGATGATGGATGGTCTATAAATTTGTTGTTCAGATTTTCTCTAGATTTTGTACGTTCCATATTTTTATCATCAGTGGTGTATGTGATGATGAGTTTAGCTGATTAATTGAAAGAATGCAATGAACAGAGGGAAAAAAAAGTTATCCTAATTCACAGAGTATTTGTCCTTCACTTCTGATAAGAATTTGAAATATGATGTTGAAAGGCTGAGTTGAATCAATCTTGTGAGCAGTTCCATGAAGGAAAGCTTTATAGGCGATTTATTCGGATCAATACGGTTGCTAAGATTCTGGCTCTTAAGAGCTTCTGGTATCGTAACAGTTTTTGCATTACTTTGATTATTCAGATGGATAGAATTTATTAATGGTGATTGAAGTGCTTCGTTGTGTGCACTAAGTGGGACGGGCATTAAGTGCAGTTGATGCGTTGTTCATCAACTCTTTTCTTTAAGAGAAGGTGTACTAACAGTGGAAAATATTCGTGGTGAGTGGAAATTGTTTACCACAAATGNAGATTTTTTGACGTGTTCCTAGATGAAACAGTTTTTATCAACTGCAGTGGACTGGGAGAGCTTTGAGATGTGTTCTCTGATTCTCACTACATCAAAATTTCCTCCTCATGCCCTTATCAGCTGTTATAGCCTATTAACTTTGACTATTCTACGGCTAGTTGAGGCGGAAGGCAGTTGAATTGATTGCTCAGTTGAAGAGTAAGAACATACCAAATGCTGAATGTTTCCGAAAAATTGCGAAGCATTAACAAATTAAACATTCCAATTCACTTGCTGCTATTGCTGCCGCTAAATTATAAAGGATACCCAAAGTGAACGAGGTAGTTTTTGCCTCATATCTCTAAGAAGCGCCCCATCAAACAAAAAAAGAAAATTGTAGAACAGAATAAGATTTGCATGTGTTATTATTGTGTTCAAGCACATCCGAATCGAACAGCGGTAAACAGACCAGCAGATCGTTTTCTTTTTTGAATGATTCCCGTATACTTTCAATGAATGGCTCAATGCTTTTGACGCTGTTTTTCATTTCCGAATATTTTTCAAATGTCGTTTTNGAATACCACCGCAGGTTCAGGTGATGAATCTAGTACGCCAGCACGAATGCCCACATCCCATTCGTCATCGAGCTTCAAGACACGTCTCTTCAATGCGTTTGGCATCAAAGATCAACCGCAGCAGTGAAAATGCATTGAATAAAATCATTTAGAATCAGTAACAAAATCAAAAATACCAACAAATTGTTCTATTCTGAAACCACTTTGATAATCTGTCTATATGTAAACTTGCTTCTTTTCTCAGTTGATAACCATTGGCATATCGACAGTCAATGCCTCACGTCACCTGCCTGTACTTCTGAACACTTATTCAGCTGTCTGAATGCTCACAGACTTACGTGTCGCATCCGTTGCCACTTACGTTCGATCTGCACACGTCAACACAACACAAATATAAATAGTTCATGTGGTAGGATCGGTGCTCCCGATACTGTAACGTGGCAACACCGAATACCTGTATCGCAGCTAAATTCCTCTGAACTCATCTGTACAAAATCTGACCATCACCTGC